ATAAATGTGTCCCCGTCGCATTGTGAAAATAAATGGCGTGTATTGGAAAGGGGATACAAAAAGTTCGTAGATAATCAGAATAAAACAGGTAGAGGACGAAAATTTTTTGAATTCAAAGATGAAATGGACAGTATATTCAAAAAAAAAACGAAATATTCATCCCGAGATACTTCTATCTGCTACAAAAGTTATTGAAAATGTGTCGTTGACTTCAGATGTAGTTCTAAAGGAGACTGAAACTCAAGAAGTAGAGAATACTGACAGCCCAGTTCCAGTTACCCACACCGCTACATCTGCACCTAATACCAATACAAAGCATCCAATTCTAAATAGAAATAGAATATTGGAAAATATGAGAATAGAGAGAGCAGAATATTATAAGGAAAGGCTCAGTATTGAAAGGGATAAGCTAGTGGTTCATAGAGAAAAACTAGAAGAGATAAAAAGGCGAAATCTATTACTTGAGAAGCAAAACCAATTACTTGAGAAGCAGAACCAACTACTTGAAAAGCAAAACAAACTTAGGGAAAATCCATAAGATTAATTTATATGTATAGTATTGTTTTTCTGAATAAATATTTTGTTACTTTAACTGTAAAAATCATAATAATTAAAAAATAAAGTATTTTAAAATTTTTATTGTTCTAACAAATTTAAAATTTGATTTCGAACTGCAGCACCATTTCTGTCATCAGGTTCATCATCAGGATCATTATTGTCCAACTGTAAATCAGGTGCTGCTTCATTATTGCCTGCAGGATTGTTTTCATATAAAAATTCATCATTTAATGAAATATTATGCAAAACACAACTTGCTCTTATTAAATGTACACAATCAGCTATAGAGCGTAATTTAAGATGGTATAACTGCCTAAATTTTTGTTTGAGGACTCCTATGCAATGCTCTACTAAGTACCGGTTAGCACACAGTTTTGAATTATAATTTATTTGGGCCCTACTTAACTGCCCCCGGTCTCTAAAGGGTGTTAATAAATTGGGCAATACAGGATATCCACTGTCTCCTAATATATAATAATTTCCACATTTTTCTTGTAGTGTCTGAGACAATGGAGAACTGCGGAATACTCGACTATCATGTACAGAGCCCGGGTAACCAATAAATATGTCTCTGATTTGTAATTCATGGTCACATACCAATTGTAACTAAAACATAACATAGAATAAATACATTTTATTACTGTACAGTAAAGAAAATTACCTGAATCGAATAAAATCCTTTTCTATTTATGTAAGAATCTGGATCATCCTTTGGTTTGTCAATCTTGATATGTGTACCATCAATTATCCCAATTACACCTAAGAAACCATTCGTACGAAAGACATTCTCAATTTTAACTTTTTCTTCATCGGTTGGCCATTTTATTATATGACTTGAGCAGTAGCTCAAAAAGTAAGTCACTTTTCGTATCACTCTAGACAAAGAACTTATTGTAATGTTGAAGCGGTCTGCAACATCTCTAAAACTAGCCGTTTGATGGCCTATATACCATAAAAAAATTAAAACTTGTTGCATTGCTGACAATTTACCATATGGTCCTGCATGTATTTTATAGTAGTCACTATTTTGAAACTGTTCAGCTATGGACTCAGTAACATGCCGACTTATTCGAAAATGCTCCTTAAACTCTGTTTCATTGTATTGGGAAACAGTTGTTTCAAAATAGTTTCTATTTTTAGGGCGAATTCTATCTTCCAATACAATTTCTTCCAAGTCATCACTGGAGTCGCTCATAGAGGATAATGACGAATATTCACTGTCACTCATTGTTTTATAAATTATAATATCAAAAGTATAAAACACTAAAATACAATATTATGTATGTACTTAAAACAACAAAATTACCAAAACAAAGGTACCTATTTAAAATTAAAAATAAACAGTGTAGGTGTGAGTAAATCAAAATTCGACTAATTGCGCATGTCTGTGATTACCAGTTTGCAAAAAGTTCGGAAACTTTTCAAACTGTCAGGAACTAATTTCAAACTGGTTTTATATTTCATGGAACAGTGTACTTTGTTGACAAGGTATCAGAGAAAATCTTGTTGGAACGGCGAAATTATTATTGCGCATGCGTCTGACAGTCGGCGACAGTTTGAAACTTCTGTAGGAACAAACCTATTGTTACCTGGGCAAATTTCATGGAACTATCTTACTTTTTCACTCATTTACATGGGATAAGCATACACAATAAAAATGACCCCGGTAAGAATTTACTTCTGACACTTAACATGGTTGCCGTTAGCTCTTAGTTCAATTTGTAGATTAGTCACCCTTACTTAAAAATTGTCCGACTATAGCACATATATTCCATGGAAATATGCATAGCATGAAAATTGCATAATGTAATGTCGACTTAAAAGTTTAAAATATCTTCGAGTCAAGAACAATTCTACATAATTGATTTATATCGAGAAAAAAGCTGTTATATCATGAGAACCATCCACATTATTATAAAAAATCCTTTCAGTCCTTTCATTTGTATTATGAATAAAATAGTATGGACCACGGTTCCTAGACTTACTACGGTTGCCTCTTCCGCCTAACCAATGAACATTAAGCCGGATTGTACTCCTGTGACGTAATTTGAATCTTAACATTCAGTCCTGTGATTGGATGGATGTATCAAAACAAAAATGTTTTATAAATAAAATAAATGTTAAATAACGTGCACGTTAACCTGCATTTACGTTAAATTCTAAAATTCTAAAAATTGATGTGATGTATCACAGATGTTTGTCAAAAAAAAACGTTATGTGGTAACCATAGATAAGAAGGTGGTAACGTTTTACGTTATCTTGCTAACATAATATATTATATTCTTTATAGTTTAGTTTGCAGATTTGCTTCCAGAATTAATTTACTATGTGTTTATAATACGCAAATCTGTAGAGTAAATTATTTTACTTTCAAACTAAATTTTACTTGGCTTTTCAAACTAAAAAGTAAAATGTTTTATAATACCGCAATACCGGGCATAAAAGTGGTATAAACAAACCAGACAGCTGTTGATTTGAATAGAATTATTAATTATTTTTAGTAAATTTCAGCATTATGACTACGTTAAAGTATTTTAAATCCAATCGATATTGTTTTGGTCCTCAATGCAATTCAAGATTTATAAAAGATATGTCCCTATTTCTCTTTCCTAAACTGAAAAACTTGAAGAAAAAATAATTTATTATGCAATTTTTTAAAGACAAATAATCATGTCCTATATTTTCTGACAGGTGATCTCAAGTTAAGGTTGATTTCATGTAATCAAATGAACTATTTTACAATAAAGCCAAGTTAAAGTTATTTATTTATGTTAATATACAATAAAGTACTTACATATGTCAAAAAATAGTATAAAATAAAAATTAACATATTAAAAACATAAGGTATAATAATGCATATATACGTTAAGGCAAACATTACACAGAATATTATATTCCCAGGGGGTTCCCAGGTATACACAAAATAAGATTCATCATCATCAATACACAAGCCAGTTCGAAACATTAAAGTTAAAATTTAGGAATTCATCAATTGAAAACTGCTTCCCCTTCAACCAATGGACTCTTTGCTTCACCACAATACTCAAAGATATCATTAAGGTTAATTTCCATTATTAAATGATACAAATAACTCGTCTTAAACCAAACTAAACATGGAAAAGCAATGGTAAATATTATTCGAATGTTATGTTTGTTTTTGTTTATACCATTTATATCGGCCATGACACTGCAATCGACCTCTCTACATTTTCAGTTTCAATCGCGAATAAATGGGTTTTGTATTCTTGTGTACTCCTGTGACGTAACTCAAGCATCCCCACCCCAGTCGGAAGAGGCAACCGTAGTGCTGTGTTGCCAATGTCCGGATAATTATCCGATTTTCGGATAATTTCGTGGACCATCGGATAATTTTCGGATTGAACAATTTTTTGGATAATTTCGGATAATTCAAGTGTCTATCGACTTTTTATTTTTAAATATAATTTAAATTTTTATAAGGTTAAATAGCTAAATTTGCGAATGTACATAGAACTGCAAACTCTATTCTCATATAATCGAAGATGATGGAACCTATGAATTATTTCAGCGCCCTCTGTTGATAAATAGTATAGTTTTGGTTGACTGTTTTACTGTACAAAAATCCAGGGATCTTTGAAATTGACAAAACAAAAATCGAATTTCATTTCAATCCAAGTCTAAAAGGTCGAAGTAGTCAAGTAATTCCCCTGTGGCACTTTCTCTATACTTTTGCCGATTATGTATGTAAACAATAAGTATTTTTAATGTAGGTTTTAAGAGTTAATAATTTGTTAATTTGCTGTATTTATGTATTATTTTTTGTTTTTTATTTAAATAAATATATTTCTATCAAACTTTTTTTTTGTGTGTTTTGGCTTGGACAATTGTCATTCAGCCAGTCTCAATCAAGATAAGCTTATTAATGTAGTGTGTATAGTAATTATCTTGATACTTAGCAAAGTCGACGTCATTGTCTTTGCTAAGAGACGCTAATTGTATCCGAACGTCTGCGGTCCCTCCGGTGAGTACCGATCGCACAAGGATAGAAATTATTTTCATTTATTAATTTTTAATAAACGAAAATTTCCACCAAGGTGGGATTCGAACTCACGACCTTTAGGTTCAAAGGTAGGCGCTCTTACCACTGAGCCACAGAGGGGGTTAGATTATTCTACTTTTTAAAATTTCCAAGAAAACAACGTACTTTAGTTTTGACTTAGCCTGTATTTGATTTAATGAATGTATCAAAATTAATCGTCTTTATAACTTTTAACTATTATTAAAAAACTATGGCTACAAGTTGTTACTTTTGTGAAACTTTTTGTATCTCCTATAATAGATACAGCGGACTTTGTCACAAAAGTTAATCACCCTGTATACACCAACAATGGAGAACTTTGAGAAGTATCGGCATTATTGGATGGAGTGAGAGGATGGGGATAATAAGAATAAACAACTACACAATATTCTACAATTTTTTATTTTATACAAAAAAGTAAATTAAACAATAATTTTCATATTGTTAAATTGCAATATTTAATTGCTCTTTTATATATTTACTAAGGATTTAATAATGAAACTAATGTATCTGTACAATATATAGTAATAAACAATGAATTCGGATTCTAATTTCAACTGATAGAATTGTCTAATTATTTATAAGTATACTCCCTTTACTATAGTATTAATCTTCTGCTTGTTATGACTCTTTTATTTATATCATCAACTGTTACAGTCAAATAAAACAATATACATATACTCATTATACAATAAACCACAAATGAGATGAACTCGATGAGGTGAACACATATCCATAACTTCATTTACCTTAAAATTGTTATTTGGGGAGACTTATTTTAGTCTGCAGACTCATATGAAGACTAATTTGTTGGAGAAAGATAGTCCGTATTAATCCTCGTCAAAACCTATTTACCCTTTAATCGACAAGATCGTCTACACACTGTTTTTACTCTAACCTAAGTATTTTTCAATCACGGGTGTGATTGAGCTGAACGACAAAGAAGTTTATAGGCACTGAACATACGAAACAAACTGTACCGGTTTGATCGTCGTAGCTTTATTTTATTTACAGCAGCTGTCATTTATGTTGAGACAGTCGTATGATTCAAACGCTAAAATTATTTGTGTTATAGGCAACAAAAAAAAAAATAATAAAAAGTACTTTCTAGTTGAGAAATAGACACGAGCATTTTTAGGGTGAGTAGTTGTTATGTATATTTATTTATTTGCTATTGTGTAGAGGAAATAAGCAGTGGAATTGAAATACCGTGCATTTAGTGAAGGCCGTCTGCAGATGGCCTTGTTGCTTAATTGCAAAATTTTTCTCCTGTGTTCTTAGTAATACGCGTATCTTTTGTCTTTATTTTACCTACTAAACGTGCGGTTATTATTTTTATGTAGAAAATAGAGGGTAAACGTTGTGTAGAAGGATGTAAGAGAGCATGGGCAGCAGGAAAAGGATTCGGTGTCTCTACTCTAAGTGAAAAAGAAGTAATAGACACCATGGAATCGTTTACGGATAAAGATGTCGATGACGTAGACAGTGAATGATGAGATGATAAATGAATGCATCCAAAACATATATTTAATCGCTACATTTGTACAGACTGTGAACTTATCACTGAATATCTAGTACTTTGCTCAGTCCAACCGATGCTATAATTCCAATAGCACAAACTTTCACCCCTGAAGCGGCTATTGTGGTTAGAGATGAATTTCCACCAACCACAGCAGCAGAATCATTAGCATCGACATCAGAAGACATAACCTCAGTAGAAATGACAACAATAGCAACAACGTCAGCAGCAATAGCTGCATCTACATTCAAACCACCGAAGAGACTGAGATCACCGTTACCGACTTTAAAAGTTTCCGGCCTGAGAGTGGTAACATCAGCAGGTGGCTTCACTGGAGAAGGACTGTACATATTATGAACAAAAAAATGATAACTACTGATTTTTTTTTACTTTCAGTGTTAAAAAATATTGCAAAGGGTTCCCAGGAATGAAAGAACATTCTGTGGGGTCAACGTTCAATGCCGTTACATGTGAACGAGGTTGCATTTCGCGGCAAAACTGGTCTTCCATAATACATAAATTAGATTCGCCATTGCAGTTTTTTAATTACTTCTTTACGGATGAATTGGTCGATCTTATTGTGTTGGAAACAAATCGAGCTGCACGTGACTTCGAAATTAATACACAATTCACCGTCGATGAATTTGGATTCAGAGCCGTACCATATTGCATGAAATTGAAGAAGTTCGAAGCAATTAAAAGCATCTTGCGTTCAATGATGAAAGCCAACGTATTAGAAAAGGTGAATCAGGATACGATCCTATCTTTCGAGTACGAAAAATTGCCACAATTTTGAATGCTCAGTTTGACAGCATCTCAAAAAATGCACGGTTATGTGTGGATGAACAAACATGCTCGACCAAGATGGTCCACCATCTTAGACAATACCTAAAAGATAAACCCAACAAATGGGGTGTAAAGTTATTTGTGATACGAATGGGTTTTCATATCAGTTCGAAATGTATACTGGTGCTCATAATTTTGCCAACACCCCAAATATTGGTGTTACAGGAAACGTTATTATCAGGTTATCGTAGACAGTGCCAGACTTCCTGAATCATGTCATTTCTTCGACAACTTCTACACATCATTACCTCTAATGGTTTACTTAAGAGCTCGTGGCATTTTTGTCTTGGTACTATTAGAAGCAATCGAATTCCTAACCGCAAATTTCCATGAGACACTGATGAAAATTTGAAAAAAAGAAGCAAGAGGTTATCCCATCGAATACTGCGGATCAGCGTTATGGTGTCGATCTGGGCACAGTTTTGTGGAAAGATACTGAAAATGTTAATGACTTTGTTCGACATATGTTTAAGTAAAACCTTTCTTGAAAACCCAATCAGTTACACAACCGGCTAAAGTGGCTCGTTATGATAAGAAAGCAAACAAATACATCGAGGTTTGATGCCTATAAATCATTCGAGAATACAACTCTCACATGGGAGGTGTAGACCTCATGGATTCATAATATGGGTCGAAATAGGTTTTGTATCAAAACAATGGACATAGCCACCAGAATTTTTTACCATCTAATGGACATGGCGACTACTAATGCATTCGTTCTGTATTGACGTGTAAATGTGGAGAAAAATCGGAATATCTACATGACGATGCAACATTTCGATTGAACATGTCTAAAGAGCTGTGTGCTACTACTGAAAAACGTCCTGTTGGACGACCACCGTCCATTCCACAGCCATCTAGTAGTTCTGCAGTCGGTAGATGTTCATGAGGTTTATAGTGTATGATACGACGGATTGAATCATTTGCCCGAATGGGGATAAAAAAGTCTGGCAAACTGTATATAAAGTCTGACACTCATTCATTTTGCACCAAGTGCAACCTTCATTTGCGTAACAGGAAAAGTAAAAATTGCTTCACACCAAAGCCTGATACTTTTTTGTTTATTTAACTGTACCCTTTTTCAATAAAAATATTATTTTTGTACTACTAATAAATTATGATGATTTCATAAATTTTCCTTCTGAACGACAAGACTGTCTGAAGATGGTCTAAAATTTGTTAGTCTGGCGACCAAACCAGACACAATATCGCCAAACTGACCTCATATTCGTTTTTCCCACACCCAAATGACCCTAAAACCAATATTGCCGATTAAAGGGTTAAGATTTAAAATATATAATTTCAATCGAGACAAACAATAAATCATCATTAACAACTAATCCTCAGAATAATCAATCTCCAGGATTACGTGTTAACTTCTTGTTCTAAAATATTCAACTAACAGTTCATGAGTTACAGGCCATAAACGTTCTTCTTATTTCAGGTATGCACCTCTATGGTTCATCATATTTTACGATTACTGTATAAATGTTATGCAGATCATACCACTATGAATTTTATACTCACAGTGTCCAACATACCTAAATTTTTCTTCTAAAGGGATCTGATGTTGTAGTCGTTATACTTGTTCTAATAATATTTAAATAACAAATACACTGAGCTCTTGTCAGAAAATATTAAGTGCTATCAAATCCAATCAAAACCTTGAAAACCAAAACCTAAACCTACTCATCACAACAGCTACATATTTAAAACATTATAGAATCGAAGCAGTTAAACATCAAACCACAAATATTATAATGTTGTTAAATATACATCATCTCAGCCATAGAACTCATTTTTTTGGGTATATGTACAAATGTTTCAAAATAACTAGCAAGTTCGTCGATTGTGACATCACACGGGGGATTAACGTTCATTCTAGCTTGATGTGAACAGCTACCAATATTCTGACTTGTACTATCAGATCTCTGAGTATTATTTTGATACTGAGCTATTAAAAAACTAGGAGCGGAGTACCTGTCCAAATTAGAATCATTATTGCGTATGCTTAAAAGTTCACAACCGTTTATGATGGACTTAAAATCATCTGTAGGCTTTGACATTTCACCAAATTGTTTGTCTTTCTTTTTAGACGAATGTCCTTTAGAGTGTTTTCCCTTTTGAGAACACTCAACAAACTTTAACACAGGATCTCTGAGGATCTTCTTGTTTGGCTTTTTAAACGATGTAGTATGCTTTACACTTTGGTGTTTTGATGCACAATCGCATGTTGAACCAAAATTGATGGAAGAAAGTGATTTGGAGCGTCTCCGTCTCATGAATGGGTTTGGTTTGAAACTGTTCACAGGTTTTTTATTCGACTTAATATCTAATTCCAATTTTTCCAAAGAATTCAACAAATTTACGTCTTCTTGTGACATGTCGGCCTGAAAAAGAAAAGCAATTACTTATTTTATCGTTAACCAATATAAATCTATAATTGAGGCGGTATATGTAAAAACGGCATGTTACTACTTCGTAAGATTTATGTCATAAAGGAAAAGTTCTGTGCCAAAAAGAAGAATTGAAAATATAGAATGTTCTAGACGTCATCGAAATGTCCAGAAATGTCTCGTGAGGTTTGGAACGTCAGAAAATGTATATAAACAGGAAGTTGGCAGTTTAATGAGTAATAGTAATTCAGTTTTTGAATATTTTTCATTTAAGTGAAGTTGTTAACAAGCTTCTGTATGTAATATTGCTTCAGTAATTAATAGATCTTTTCCAGGTATAATTAGGCCTAGCAAAATTTTAAAACCACCCACATTCAATGATCAAATAGCATTGGAATCTCATCGTTTTCAATTTGAAGTTACAGCTAGAGCAAATAGCTGGACTGAAAAAAAAATGGCAGCTTCCTTGGTAATATCTCTCCGAGGACAGGCAGCAACCCTCTTACAATATCTTCCCCAGGATTCACCCAGATACCTCTCTCGTTCAAGATTTATAGACAAATTATGATCAGCAGCATCTAAAGCAGGTTTTCCAAAGCCAGCTTAAAGTTCGATAAAAAAACAACGAAAGCGTGAAAGAATTTAAAACTGTAAGGTACGTACCTCAATAAACACCAACAAAACGAAGTATGTGAAAATAAGCATGCAACCACAAATCCTACCACCACTTGTTACATAAAACGACGTCATCGAAGCAGTGAACGAATTTATATACCTGAGTGCTCCTTAACACTGAATATATTACTGCCGTAGAGATAAACTGCAGAATTTGAACGGCAATAAATGATTTTTTAATCTAAATCTCCTTAATCTCAATTATATCGAGAAATACAAAAGTAAAACTCTATAAAACAATAATACGCCCAGTCCTAACATATGGTTCAAAGACCTGGACTCTAACAAAAGTACTAAGGCGAATCTATGGAGAGGTGAATGACAGTGGAGTGTGGAGAAGACGATACAACTTATAGAATACACCAGGAACCAGATATCGTAAAACATATTAAGATATTATGTCCGAGGTGGACAGAAGGAGAACTATAAAAACGCTCGTTGATAGACCCATTGGTCAGAGACGAAGAGGAAGATCCAGAACAAGGTTCCTTGATAACATCGATGAAGATATGAGAAATATGGAAATTCATGTTTGGGGAAAAAGGCAATAGATAGGGACCACTGGAAAAAAATATTGAGGAGGCTAGGGCCCACGCAGGGTTGTAAAGCCAGAGTGATGATGATGTACCTATAGGCACCTAAAAATTTTCTGGAACAGATTGGTAGTTAGGCATTCATAGATGGATGTTGAAATGTTGACAAATGAAGTCCCTACTGCAGATAACCAACAACCTATTTTATCCTAAATGTTAATCATACTGCAAAATCTTCACCAAAAAAACTAAAAAAAATATAAAAATAGATGATTTAATTACGTAAGAATAGGCCACTTAAAAAAATTGCAGAAGCTGATCCCAAGCAAGGAATCAAAGAATGAGGTCAAAGGTCATAAGATGCCAGTCGCAAAGCTCTACTAGAAATAATAATAGATATAGGTCTTTAAGAAATCGATCTCCCACAAGTGACCAGAGAAAACAAGAAGATGCTCTGGAATCTGAAGTTGCTCATTTGAAAGAGCAACTAGAGATTAGTAAAAATGAAATAGAAAAGATAAGAACACTGGTGTCAATTTTGCAAGAGAAATTTTTGTAAGATAACACGAAATAATGCAAAAACTACACAGTCTAATCCGGAATACAAAGGCGAAAAAGTGGTGAAGGAGAAGAATGTGTTAAATGAACCATTACAAGAATTCCAAGATGCCTTAAACAAATTACAGGTTCAAAGCTTGAAGAAAAAAAGAATGTAACTGAATTAGTAAGTCTCCAGATAACCACAGTTAAACAGGGAGATGATAATGATCAGACTTCTTTGAAAACTCTTAAAAATATCCAAAAGAAAGATTTTACTTATTATAAAAGTAAAGAAATACTTAAAAATTAAAGGAGAATGGCTTAAACATAGAGAGACCTATTTGGCAGGAAATAACCAAATATAGTGAAACTATAAAGACATCATCATCATCATCATGCTTTACAACCCTGTGCGGGTCCTAGCCTCCCCAAGAATTTTTTTCCAGTCGTCCCTATCCATCGCCTTCCTCCGCCAAGCACGTATACTATAAAGACGTACTGGGCTTCAAAGGAATCTCTGTTACTTTCCAATGGTCTATTTTGAAATTTTACTTACGAATGCTGAGAATAATACACTTTCTTATAATGGCTTCTAATAAAAAGTAATATAAAACCTAATTCTTATTCTAAATTAAACGTTGGTTGCATAATATGTATTTACATATTAAATCGCTTAGCATTGATGTTAATATATGCTTTTCATAGAACATTTCAATGAACTGTGGTCTTTTTAGTCAAATCACTTTAAAACCATCAGGCAAAAATCATATGTTCAATGAAGGCGATGTCCTCTTCATGTAAAAATTTGTATAGACCTCAAACATCTTTAACTTTTAGCATATTTACATCTGGCAAAAGGCACTTCTGGCAAAAGACACGAGTTATTGGGTTTCGAAAGTACCCTATTTCTACAAGAGGGTACCTATAGCTAAATACACCATACTGGAGAAAATAGGCCTTGGTGCAAAAGAGTGCACAATTTTTCAGAGCTTTGGTGATGACATATTTCATTAATGTGAGGGGTATTTTGTGTCTGTATGCAAGTGTTTTCTGGAATAGGTTTAACAGGAATTTAGGTTTTACAGTTTTGAAAAAGTTAATGATAAAAAGTAACTTGACATGGACAAGGATTTTTTCTGCAAAACCACATTGCTGAAAGATAAGATTTAAGGTTACAGATAGTTTACTGTGACAAAGAAACTGTGTCTCATTCCTAGAAATAATTTGATAGCATCCAAATCATGAACTTTGGAAAATCAAGAGTTAATCTTATTAGAAATCTCATTCTTATTCTGTCCCCCAATGGTATCAGAGAGCAAAAAATTCTAAATATGCGAGGAAATTTTTGCAACTGCTTCTTAGATAGTCATACAACAAACAAATGACAGCATTTGGATTTTTTACACCATCACATGCAGTGTATGTATAGCAGTAGCTTAAATCATTAAATACATAAATATTGAAGCAGTAAAGCCAGAATATTTTTCTATAAAACTGATTATTCCATTATTGAGTTTTTCAATCGGATAATTGTGAGAGAAATCAAACTCAACAGTAAGTATTTTAGCAGTTTCTCTTTACTCATATAAAAATAAAACTATCTCGCATTTTTTTCCTTTTGTTTCTTCCTCAAATGTGGGTCGAAAGGAACTGTACATGGATCATGTGACTTGTGCTTCAACTATTTTTACATTCTGTGCATAAGTCACATAGGCAGTTTTCGGTTCACACACAATAAATAGAAAATTTGACAAACAATATTGGTGGTATGTTTGGTATGACATTTTAAGGTCTGATTTGGTTTTGTCCTCTTTGAATAATTCATACAAAGTTTGTAAATTTAACTTGCTGTTATCAAAATAATACACATTTGTTTTATTTTTGCAGTAATAGTTTTTGTCATGTGTAATAGATTTCAAATGCTCACCCATCAAGCCACATTGATCCTCAAAGGATACGCCATTAAGAAGTTTGTCTTGAATAACATAAACCCTGTTAACTTAGGTAGTAAAAGATATTTTACTACAGGTAATAAAAATTGTCTTATTCTTCTTCACATGCCATATCAGAGTTATCCAATGTTAGTGTTCACCATTTCGAAGGCTTCTCAATCTTCTGTGACATGGAATAATATTGTCCTGCATTTGATATTACAGTCCATTCACTACTGTTTTTTAACCAAGAAACCTGTTTTCTTCCTACAAATCTACAGTCTTCTATTTTGTCTTTAAAGATCAGTTGTAATATTCTACATCAATTTCCCTTCACTATATGTCCCAGATAAGATATTTTCTGATGTTTAACAGTCTTTAGCAATTCTCAAATTTGCAAACCTTTTTTGACCCTCCTTAATACTTCCTCGTTAGTTTTTCTTGCTGTCCACACTTCTTCTCCATACAAAAGTACAGCCCAAATATAGCACTTAATCATTCTTTGTCTTAATTCTAAACTGAGATGATTATTGCAAAGAAATGTCATCATTTTCATAAAAGTAGCTTTAGTAATTAATTGCTATTCTTTGTTTGATTTCTATGTATGGATCTAGTTGGTCCGTTATGACAAATATGTAATTTTGTGAACTTTTTCAACTTAAAATCTATTTAATTGAAGCTCTGCATCTGAATGTGGGTTATGACTAAAGACTGAAAATTTGGTTTTGTTTGAATTTATTTTAATGCCCATTTCCTCTGATCTTTTATAAATATGATCAAGCAGAATTTGGAGACCTTCAATATTTTCTGAAAGAATTACTGTATCGTCTGTGTATCTAATTAGATTAAGTAGTTCTCTGTTGATTTTGATTCAATACAGCTGTCTCTCAAGTGCCTTTTTAAATAGCTGAACAATTTATCTGACTCCTCGTTGTATGCAAATACATCTTTTCTTTGATCACAACATTTTTGTGATAGGAAATTTAGAGCAAAAAGTGCCTCCCCAGTTCCCACAGCATTTCTAAAACCAAATTGGGTACCTTCAAGATCTTGCCAAGTAAAGCACTCTGCATGTTCATGTACTTCATGTTCATCCTTAACTCTGTGAATTGGTTTCTTTCTCAGTTACCAATTTAGAAACCTGAAATTGTTCACATTCTAGTCTAGTTACCACTTATGTATAATGATTTGGTGGAGAAGTACAGATTATTACATGGTATTTGTTGAAAATACTTGATTTTCTGATTTATAATAAGTTTGTTAATTCCAAGAGAAATAATTTGAATAGTCAAATTGCATGAAGTCAAATTATTGTGTTTTTAGTGGGCCTCAACCAAACCTTATGCTTTTGCACCATTTTTTTTAATACATGCAATGTTTGAATATTAAAATATGTAAAATTCTGACCCTCATACAGTGTTTTGAGACTAGTAAAGGACTTGGTTCTGATATATCAAATTTTTTCCTAAGAAAAGAAAAACTCACTCTCTTTAAAGTAACTACATTAAAAAGATAATTATTTCTTCATGATTATCAATATTTTCACATATTACACCACAAAAGTAACTACATTAAAAAGATAACTATTGCTGCATGATTATCAATATTTTCACATATTGCACCACAAAAGTAACTACATTAAAAAGACAACTATTGCTAAGTTTCAGCAATGCTAATGTCCAGTACTATTTTTGATTGTTGTTCAGAAAATGTTATTGATTGCTTATTACTCTTTACTAAAATATGTACAATTAACCATTTATTATTGCATATCATAACAATTTTATAATTATTCCATATTAATAATTTTATCATTATATGTGTTGTCATTGGGCATCTATATTATTAGACTCGATATAAATAAAAGTGTAGATGAATATTAATAACATATTAAAAAATATTTATATATACTTGATCAACAAATTAATTGAAGATAAAGAGTTGAAAAACTCAATTAAAAATAATTAATAATATCTTCCTAGTTCATGCTCTCAGTATTAGTTGTTATTTATGTACCAAGAGTATTAAATATATGTTTATGCCCAGAGAACAACAATGTTACAAATCCAAAGGCCTCTGGCCCGAGGGTTTGTAAGTCATCCTAGGGCATATACATCTATTAATACCCATGGTGCATACAAACTTTTATGTCATACTAGTTCGTTATTGCATATACAAATAAATATGTTCTAAAAAATCTGAAAAATTGATTTCATTTTGACAATATATTTACTAGTAGACATTCTATTGTCCGCATTTTGTTGCTACACAATGGAAATGCTGTCAAATGTGTCAAACTAAAACTGTGAAAATGCAAGATATTTTTGAGATCCTAATGTAACCTAAATATCTCTGGATCCTTTCAGAATTGCCACTTTGATGTTAATTCTAAATAATGTTTTGAAATGTTGTTAAATAAAGATGTTTCTAATAAGTTATCTTTTTGTTTGTATCTTTATGCCTATGCGGGCCATAAAATACAGTTTATGCCCACAAGGGCATAAAGTACACTATTACGTAGTTGGTAACTAAGCAATACAAACACAATAATAAACTAGTATGACATAAAATATATAAATACTAGCTTAATTTTGATGTTTGTCAGTGATGACAAACATTCATTTTATATTCAAGCAGCTACTATAGAAGTGAGTTCACACATGATCAGTTCCAAAATGGAATGAATATAGTTAGTAAAAAATGAAAGTCATAAGTAGCCTTTCATGGACTATGATCACAGAATAATAGAGAAAAATAAGCCAGTTAATAAAACAAAGGACTAAAACATTGTGCCTGAGACTTGAAATCTTAATAACCAGTTAAAATAATTACAGTAGACTCCCTCTATAACGAGAACTGAAATGGCAGACTAATTACCTCGTTATAAGTCAATCTAGTTATATCAGACAACAATAATACTGTGCATACATATAAATATGTAGTTTTCTAAAACATTAACTTCCTATAGTGAAGAGATTCGGAGCAATATAAGATGCTAATAAATATTGTTTGAATGGCGTTTTTGAAAAAAAGTTGTTTACTTTTCTTGTCAATAAAATATGTTAAAACAAAAAATCTGTATTTTGAAGGATAACATAAACTATTGCTTATTGCTACTGCAATTGGACGAAGTCATTTTTGACTGCTTTAAATTGTCATGTATCATTCTATCTGTCATATTTTCTAAAGATGTATTTATTCTAAAGTAGTTTATTGCGGGGCACTTAAAAAGGGTATTTATTTATAACCACAGCCTGGTCAAAAACATAAAAAGACACATTTTCGATCTTATTTTCTCTTGTTATAACCAAATTTGCTTCTCTATAGAGGGTTATAGTTGGTTAATAACTGTGTTGGTTTTGCAAATCGAATTTAGTTGAACAAAGTGAATTAAAGAAAGTAATATCACCACAAATACTATTAAATCTAGAAGTAAAATGATAACAAAACAAAGTAAGAAACCTATCTTCAAATAAACAGACAGAAAATTGAAGTCTTCCAAAATTTAAATATAATTAAAGAATATATGGTAGATGGCAATTGAAAAATATATGTTTTAGCTATGCGGTTGGACACTAGATTAATATTCTGAAGCCATATCTACCCTGTCCAATTTATTCAAAGATTTCCCATACCTACTAGCCAATTAAGTAAATAGTGTTTCACCAGATAATTTTATCATAAAATAACCAGAATGTGGCCTGATTCTAATGCATCGGGATACTAGAACATATGAAGTCCTACTAAAATGCTTTTATTTTGTCACACCAAAAATATTCTATGCAGATTTATTTTGATACTGCGAATGCATATAAAAATGCAAAATAAAATGTTTTAAAATACATGAAAGTGTAAAGTTTTAGTTTTAGAAATTTATTGAAAGAACCATGTACTACTTATTAGCACATTGTAGACAACATAATTAATGTTAATTTGATACAAACATACATGATAAAACTGGTTGTATAATATGAAAACTTCTATTTTTTAAAATAACCAAAAACAAGATAAATAAATTACAAAAATAATGCTGCTAATCGCCAACGAAAATTTTCATTTTAAGCATTTGCCTAACCCTAGAAAAAGCCACATAAAGCTGCCCATGACCAAGCAAAGTGTCACGTAAATAAATCCCAACACATTGCAGAGATCATCACCTGCTACAGTGATACTAGGTGGTGCTGGAGTTTTGGTTATGGACAGATATACAGACAAAATATCTAAATTATATATATTAATCAAATTATATACAAACAGCACAACCCAAAGTTCTAACGATCAGAACATATATTTTCAAAGGAGTAAGAGAGTTTATATACCTAGGCCTATAAACATGAATGATGACAAAGAGCGATGAAGAACATTTAAGATGCTTTGAACGTAAAATCCTCCGGATATCTATGGAGGAGTACAAGAGGGTGGATTATGGCGTAGACACTATAATTTCAAACTTTACAGCCTGCATGACAAACCTGATATTATTAGGCTCATCAAAATAAACCGGCTGCGGTGGTTAGGTCACATAGAGAGAATGAATGAGATGGAGCCGCCAAAACATATTTATAACCAAAGAATAGATGGACTGAGAAGGAATGGCCGACCCAGAGCACAATTTAAGGATCAGGTGGAGGAATACTTGAGAATGTTGGGAATACGAAACCAAGAGATCACCAGAAATCAAGACCCACCATGGGTTGTGGAGCCAATGATGATGATGATGATGATATATTGATACTTTTTTGTTTACTTAATTAGTCATAGATTTATACAAGAAAATTAAAATTTTATTTACAGTAGCAGAATAGAGGTTACATATCTAATATCAAGACATTTTCATTTATGCACTATTCTAAAAAACTTAATTAGATATTAAAATCAAACAAGGAACCAAATTTTTGTAGGGATTTGCAAAAAATTACCATTTAATCATAACTGAAGTATTTTTTTGGGTTTTAAAAGAGACTTTTTCTTTATAATATAAACAGGTTTAACTAGAGATATTCTCTATACAATATTAAAGTGAAATTAACTTCGTTTAATATATTTACCATCGATGTAGACTACACTCATTATATAACTTAAGAAAAGTTATCACCACAGCAATGCTCTGCACTTTTTAGTTTTTAACTCGCAAAAATATTTATATCCAAACACTTCGACCAAAACACATATAAATGATGACTAATTGCCATTTAAATTGTCAAATGTCATTATTTTTCAAAGGCCAATATTCACGAGTATTTTAAACTGGCACTTTATTTCAATTCACGCAGACGTCATACTGATCTTTTAATTTCTTGCATGTTCGATGTTTAAAACTAAATAAAGGAAATATGTATTTTATTTAACCTGAATTTATTCTGTTATTGTTATTTATTCTGTGACCTGAGCTTCGACTTCGAATATAGACGTTTCGACTTCCACTCCGAAAATCGTTCTCAAAAAAGATGATTGTTTTCAAAAAAAATCTGCGAATTAGGTTAATTTATTTACGAAAATGTATAAACAAAATAAACATTGCTTATCATTATTGACAAATTTGGCCTCGATCTTTTAAGTAACATCATATATTATATGGCTGACAAAAACTGATGGTTGTGTTTTTACCTAGAAATATCAAATTCTGACTGTTTTTTCATATGTTTGTGTAATCCAGAGATATGTATCCTCTCTTACATATCTGGTGTAATCTGATTTTATTCTGTTTTATCATCTTATGTGGCTAGGACATCGAGCAAAAAGACTGTCTTTTTGCTCGATGGTCTCAGGTCTATAAAAATGAAGAAGATTGGAAGATATTTTTAGGTTAGATACTTTAATTTAAGACGTCAAATTATTGAGTTGTCTAAATATAAAATTTAAACACAAAATTTTAAAATGCTCAATTTTACAAACAAATTAGTGACGAAAAGTTTATTATTTTCATACCGACCGTATTTAGTAAAGGAAGGATTCAAAAATTTGTCAACTAATACATCCAGAAACATTAAAAGGGGTACTTTCAGACTTGGACTTACAGGTATTACAGTAGGAGCTCTGGTCGGTACCGGCTATTCTATTCATTATATGAATAAGCCTCGAGCACATATATTAAATGAAGAAACCACAATAGCTCAAGTGAAGGACCTACCATCCATAAAACCTACTAGATTTGTAAGTTATCTTAAATTGTTATACTTTATGTAAATTTTTTTTTATATCCTTAACCAATACAATTAACCATGACCAATTATTTTCGGATATTAGTATTAGTAGTATATTAGTATTCGATTATGTATCGCAAGTATAGATCTAGCTATAGATAATTCACAACAAAACTAAATTGTTTTGATATTTTGTTTTCAACTAAAAAGACAATTCTAAAGTATTTAATTTATATATAGGGTAGAGACTAAGTATAAGACTAAGTATTCAATTTATATATAGGGACAAATTTCAGCTTTAAAAAAAAACTGACAAATGGATTTTTCCATGCATTGGTAAATATGCTAGCAAAATATTAATTTCTGTTTCCAGACAAAGTGGATCTTATGGCAAATTTAATGAGAAACAAATAAGTGAATAAGACATAAACAAAATTAAGTGCAAGAGGAAGTATATAAAAAAGGTACCCATATTTGACAATTTAGGTACAGTGTTGTGTACCTTACAAATGATGGAAAAATTGATGCCAACAAAGCAAACAAGGGAAACAATGTAACTAAAATATATTATGCATTACACAAAATAATACTAGGACATAAATAAATTGAAGTAGAAGTAAAAAAGAAAATTCACAATGCTATAAGAATACCATTAATTACAGAAACTAGTGAAAGCTGGATATGTAATAAGAAAGAGGAAACAAGGATAAATGCAGTAGAAATGAAGTATATTAGGAAAATAGCAGGCAATATTAAGTGGGACATAATGCAAAGTGTAGAAATAAGAAACTGCATTGGCTAGTACCAAATGAATTGGTTCAGTCACAAGATAAGACTGGGTCAAACTCCACTTCTAAAAAGAATAATGGAAATGGAAAAATCAACAAAAAGAAGAAGGGGCAAACAAAAAAGTGGCTGGACCAAATAGAAGAATATTAAAAGGAAAATAATTAAAGTCAATATTGCTTGTGCATATACTAGCACCTGACATACTTGTTGGAGAGCAGTGCAAAAATACAGTATTCCACTGATTTGTGGATACTTACTTCTCTTATTGTCTAAGTGGGCCATACATTATCTACTGATTTTTGTCCTAAATAGATATATCTTACTAAATAAAGAGATCTCTAAATGTTATTTTTAATGTAATTACATTTTCAGTTTTTAACAATTATTATGTTACATGATTTATATGTTATAAATTAATAATGAATTATTACTTATGTGGATTTTAAGGTAAAAAATGTTGAAGATAAGGGATTGGAATTAACACTATACCAATACCAAACATGTCCATTCTGCTGTAAAGTAAGGGCTTTTTTGGATTATTATGGTATTTCATACAATTTGGTTGAAGTTGACCCTGTGTTAAGACAAGCAATAAAATGGTCACCTTATAGAAAAGTCCCAATTTTAGTGGCTAAAACAGAGGATGGATATCAGGTTTGTTTTATATGTTTTTTTAACCATGTTTTTATATCATTTTCATAAAATTTGAGGTATGTATGTATGTATATTGTTAAAATGCCTTTTAGGCCCATTGCTGGATGGATAATTTCCATCATTTTCTGTTCTTAGCTATCTCTTATTCCAATTTCAAAGATTTTGACAGAACTCCAGAAAAAATAGAAAATTGTAAAGTGTAAAAAAAATTTAATCAAAGGGATTGGAAAATTCTTTGTTTTTTGTTAAAAGTTATTTGTTAATGACAATTTCCGGCCCATTTGAAAAAATTAAAAACAAAATACATTTAAGCTTGAAATATATATATATATATATAATATATATATATATATATATATATATATATATATATATATATATATATATATATATATATATATATATATATACAATATATACATATATACAATTAAATAAAAAAGAAGATTTTGTGCAGTAGAAATGCAAAAAAATTGGTCAGTTTATGCTCTACTTATAGGGGTAATTATTGTAATTATTAAAGGGTAAATTATTGTTTACACACCACTCAATGAGATTTTTTGTCAATCATAGTAGAATCTAATCAGTTTGAGAAGAAATTTGCCAACTTGTGAATTAAAAGTCAATACCACAGCTTCTTGTATTTACATAGGTAATGGAGGTGATCAATTTTATTGATCCTGGGAGAATCATAAAAAATCCTGAAATTGCTCAATGTTTATTTATTAACAGCTTTATAGAAACTGATTTCATTTGTGGCAAATTTAGTATGAAAGCTACACTCTTCACCTTTAAAAAGCATTTTGATTTTTGTCAATAGTACACTCTGACCAAACATCTGCGAGGGGGTTTTATGGGGAATCCCGGAGTTAGGAGTGGTCAATATTTTTTCATCTTTTTTTGGGGCCCCAAATTTGTCATTCTTAGCAAAATTCACCTTGTTCATATGATTTTTAGAGATTTAGCAGCATTTTCGTCTCTGAAGACTGGAGCACTGTTTATTATAGTAATTTCTTTTTTAGCCTTTAATTGACAGTACCATGATAGTATCAGCATTGGCGTCATACTTATTTGAAGATAACAAAAAAGACTTACCTGAAATTGTAAAGTGTTTTCCAAGTGTTAGTTATGTAGATGACGATGGATTCAAGAAGAATGAAATTATGAATAGATATTTTATTATGTTAAATAACAGGAAAGATCTTCAAGCCATTGAACAAAAAAGCAGGTAATATAAGTATTTTCACTCTCTGTTCCACTTCCTCCTAAATCAAATGTTTTGGTTGATTTCTTTCCTTTAGTTTAGTTTATTTTCTCAGTTTCTCTTTATGGTCCAACATTTTTCTTTTTGAAGGGATAGCTTATAATTTTTTAGTACACTTGTACCAAATGAATACAGTTCAAATTTTATAGCCTAATTTCCAATGAATATTTACCCCAAAATAGATGTCTCTCTTCTAAAAATCCATTTTATTGATTAATATAATAATTTGATTTTTGGAACTTGATTTTTTATATCATCATTCTGGTTTTACAACCTTGCATGGGTCCTAGCCTCATCAAGAATTTCATCGCCTTCCTCTGCCAAGCACATCTTCCCATTTTTTCCCACACGATTTTTTATATATAGCATTTTTCACATAAAAATGCTTGCACGTCAGTTAAGATTTATGACGTCAGAACCCCACAGCGTTGCCAGAACATCAGTATAGTTAGTAAGTAGGGAATTTTTAAAATTTCAACTATTTGTCAAACTATTATATTAACAGTAAAAACTCTTGGTTTTAAGACTACTGCAACACACTAAAATACATAAGAAAACATTTTAATACAAAATTATATATTCTAAATTTTAAACTTACCTCTTTTAGAGCTGTAATAGTAAAAATGTCCCGCCATTATTTCTTGTTCAAAATAATCTATCTTATATGAAAGCTTATCAGCTTTCTACAGACTATTTATTTGTTTTGACATAGCACAATCACAATACACAACAATAATTAGTTTTTAAAGCTATTAATCTAAATTTAATATGTATTTATAAATACAATTTATTAATATATATTATATTATGATCAAATTGTGTAAGAAATCAAAACATAAACAAAATTCTTACTCTAAAAAGCGGCAACACTTTATACACTTTTGCCACACGCTGAACTGTCAATAAAATTTGAAGTATTCCGGTATCAGTTGCGTACAATTGTCTAATCTATTTAATTAAAATTATTATTTTGTGGAATATTAGACTTGAAGAGTTATTTCATAAAATTTATATTATTAATAATATCAAACGTTTTTGGTTATTTAATCAATATAATTCCAAAATTTCCAATATAATGATGATTATATTTTTCTAATTATTACACCATGTTGACGCCTATGAAAGATCGAACAGTTCCTCATGGGTTTCATATTATTAGCTGTGTTAGGAACATTTCAACTCTAAGGTTGACGTTCTGGAAATTTTAAATGCAAGTGACGTCACTTTGTATAAATCGTGACGTGCAAGTGTTTTACTTTTTTCTCTAAATTTGATAGTTTCGAGTTATAAGCGATTTAAAATCAGAAAAATGCGAAAATACGTATTTTCGAGGCTTGAAAACATGTAAATTATTATTTTGGCGGTTGCCAAGTGCCTGAATTGAAGTTTAAATATTCAATTTCAAGAATCTGAAGAGTAATCGGGGCTTATTTTAATTTAGACAGTTGTATTTTAATTGGTAATTATTCTAAAACAATTTTTAATTGAAGGTAATTACTTGGCAACATCGCACTTAACGAAGCTCTTAACGATAACTTTTCAACGAAATCATATTCCACTTGTCAATTTTGCAGAGGCGTACCAAAAAAAAATTAATCATTTGTTTAAACACATAAGTAATTATGTAAAAATTAAATCTAAGACCAATATAAGTATTAAATTATCATGTGTATTATAACAGGTATCTTACAGTTGTCTAACAAAATAAAGTAAAATTTTATTGTTATTATAGAGTACCTAATACAGTACTTCAAAAAACAGAAATCTTTGCGAAATACTTATTGTTTTCATTAGACGAAACAATCTGAAATTTTAACATACGATCCCGTTGTTGCACTTCATTCTCTATTTATAGAATTGCTGTGTGCTATAAACGTTATATTGTTTTGTTTTAACTTGATTTGAATTGATTTAATTATTTATTTAAACACATAAGTAATTACATAAAAATTAAATCTAAGACTGATATAATTATTAAATAATCATGTGTCTTTTGACAGTCATCTTATAGTTGCTGACAAATTAAAGTAAAATTTTATTCTTATTAGAGAGTACCTAATACAGAACTTCAAAAAAACAGAAAACTTTGGAAATACTTAATTTTTTCATTTGGCTAAACAATCTGAAATTTTAACATATGATCTCGTCATTACACATCATTCTCTATTTATAGAATTGGTGTGTGCTGTAAACGTTATATTTGTTTTTTTTTAACTTAATTTGAAACTTTCTTTGTGTTTAACTGTTTATATAAATATTCAAATATTAATAAATAAAATATAAAATTATATATGAAGTTCATATAAATTAAATGAAGTAAGCTAAACTATTATCATGTGAATGCGTGTATATAGTAGTGTATTTGTTTATTTCAGTAAATTCTCGAAATACGAAATGAAGATGGCACTCCTAAAGAGTTAATAGCTTTGTTAGAAGAAGACTCAGATTGTGAAAATGCTGACTCACATGTGATTTATTTGCTGCCGAGATTAGATTAGAAAGTTTCTGATGTAGAAGACATTGATGATAACATTATTTGGGAGGAATCAATAAAATCAGATATTGTAGGTACATATGAAATACAAGTGATTGGGAATTCTGACTATCCTTTGAACCACAGCTAAACCGTCCAAAGAAAAAACCAGGCAAAAATAGTAAATCCAACTTTGTCTCTAATTGTAACAACAGATACTCATTTGGGCTCAGTAGTAATTCAACATCAGTCTGATTGATATTTAGACAATATAAAAGCCAACCATGGAGACAAGTCATATAAGTTTTTTCACTCTTTTTTGATAAAATATTAATTGAGGTCATTCTACATTTTACAAATATTTATGCATCGTAGAATAACCGTCACGATTTTGAAATGAATAACATAGATTTAAAAATTATTCTTCTTCTTTAAGTTCCATCTTCTATCGAAGGTTGGAAAATATTCATTTTCCAACATTCTACTTCATACATAACATTCAAACCATTCCCTTAAGTTCTTAAGCCAGGATATTCTTCGTCTTCCCACATTTCGCTTTCCTCGGATTTTGCCCTGCATAATAAGTTGTAATAATGCGTATTTTTGCCCTCTCATCACATGTCCCAAGTACTCAAGTTTTCGTCTTTTAATAGTTAATATTATTTCCGCCTCATTTCGTATCCTTCTAGTTACTTCCATGTTTAACATTCTTTGAATCCATGATATTCGTAGGATTCCTCTGTAACACCAAAATTCAAAGGCGGCCAGCCTATTCAGATGAACTTGTTTGAGTGTCCAAGCTTCCAGACCATAAAGAAGAGTAGAGAATACGTAACATCGAAGCATTGTCAGGCGTAGTTCTAAGCTTATATCCCGACAACAAAGAAACTTTTTAAGTTTAATAAATGATGTACGTGCTATTTCAATACGTGTTTTAATTTCTTTGGTTTGGTCTACATCTGATGTTATCCATGTTCCTAAATATTTATAGTTATTAACATTCTCAATTGCAGTATCTTCAATAGTCAATTGGATATTTGCATGTGCAGATTTAGTCATTATCATGCATTTAGTTTTCTTTAAATTTATCTTCAGTCCGTACTCATGACAGCGTTCATTAAGCGTTGCATTAAAAAATTATTAGCATATGTATATTATCTCGGTCACACTTTGCTTCAAGTTGATATGCACTGGTTAAAGGATGAGGATAAAGAAGTGCACATTATACGAGAAAGCATGAGCCGACATAGATTTATATTTATAATAGTGAAGAAACCGCTACATCAGTGTCAAACTTAGTACATGGACGTCATCTAAATTTGCTTTACCAGATGAAACCAGATTCGACAATATTGGCCACAAAAAGAGACGATAGTGCAAGAATGTAGGATATGCAAAAGTGTACTATTTATTTATGTAAATGGTGTAGAATGCATATACATCCCGAATGTTTAGAAAATTTTCACCTTAAAATTTAATTTACATTTAAGATACAATATGTTCCTTTATATTAAAAATTGTACTGATTTCCTCGAAAATGAGAAAAAAAATCTTTTTGGTTGTAAATTAGTCTTAATTTATGTGTTTTTAATCCAAAGTAATAAATTAATTGTCAAATTTCTCTTTGTATATTGAGCGGCCGTTAATGGGTCAATACTATATAAAGAATAAATTTGCCTCAAATATACTTTACTTACCTCAAAACTATTTTAAAGTTAATAATAAAGTCTATTTAATAAATATATTCCCAAGAAATAGGCCTAACTCGAAACCTACAAATTTGGAGAAAAATGATAAGATTTTTTTTGTTTAAAATCGCCAAAAAAAAATATATATAAAAAATGGTTTTTAGGAGCAAAACAGTGATTTTTGGTATTTGTTCAAACAATTTCTGCCTAAAAATTTCGCCCAGCATCTTTCAGATTTGTTTAAAGGGGACATTTTTGAACAGAAATCCGCAAAGAAACTGAGTCAGAAACATTTTTCCTACGGGAGCGACCTCACAAAGCGACCTCACAAACTGGATTAAATCTTGTTTGGCCAGTTTGATTTTGTTTTTTATTTTTTCTTTGATTTGTCGGTGCTGAATGCTGCTTTTTTCCCTACGTCTTTCCTCTATCGGGTCCAAGATCTCTTCGGTCATCCAAATTTTATGTGCTTTCAACAATTGCGTTTTTGATGTCCTTAAAAACCACTTCCGTACCCTGTTGAGCTATAGGAAGATTTATGTTCTACTTATTTTTCTGATGAGTTAGTTTTTTAGTTCGCTTACAACCATGTTATTGCCTATTGTAGAAATATCATTTCTGGTTTTATCATTTTTATGTTGAGTTTTCTTAAGAGAAAGTTCAATTTTAGCTACTACTGGGTTGTGGTTTGAATTTACATCTGCATCAGGATAATGTTTTTGCTGATTTAATCCTGTTTTTGAAACGGTTAAAAATTCCGAAAACAATCCTCCAATACAAACCCTTGAAAGTGGTTGCCAGAATAGTGATAATTGAATATTAATCAATGTCGTAGTTTTATTTCTTTCCATATCTTCTTAGAGTGCTGTCTCCCTACGGAGGTTGGCAATCATAATGGCTATTTTTATTTTTGAACTTGCTGCTCCAAACAAATCAATCGATCTGCATTGATATCAATCACTTCGACCATGAGTTCTGCCTTCGGCCAACAGATCTCCCTTGAATCTTCCTGTATTATGAGTCTCAAAATTTCATATTTTGGTCCCCTCATCACGTGGCCTAGGTATTCCAGTTTTCTGGTTTGTATAGTGGTGATTAGTTCTGTTTCTTTACTAACCCTCCCCATATCGCATATTAATAAATATCTAAAAACGCTCGTATTACTTAGTTAAATTTTCAGATAATCCAGTCACACTCTTATATTCACTTATATTTTTATTTTAGCGAAGAAAGAAAATGGCGTAAATGGGCTGACAGTGTGCTTGTTCATACATTATCGCCTAATGTATATAGAACCTCCGAAGAAGCACTTCAGTCATTTAACTGGTTTTCAGATGTAGGCGAATGGGAAGCCAACTTTCCTGCTTGGGAGCGGTATCTTATGATATATGTAGGAGCATCAGCAATGTGGTTAATTGGAAAGAGACTTAAAAAGAGGCATAATCTGAAGGATGATGTAAGACAATCTCTATATGATGAGTGCAATTATTGGCTTAGAGCAGTGAAATCCAAAGGTGGTCAGTTTATGGGTGGACAAACACCCAATTTAGCAGATTTGGCTGTTTACGGAGTTCTTAGCAGTATTGAAGGTTGCTTAGCTTTTAAAGATTTATTAAACAACACCAAAATTGGACCCTGGTATTTCGGAATGAAAAAATGTATTTCAGAGCATGAAGGTGCAAAGTCAATTTAAAGTCTCATTGTTATGGATTCAATCATTTATATAAAGGTGAATTAAAGTTAAATAATGTGATATAAGTATATGATGTAAGTTGTTTTTAATAAAGGAAAAATACATTTTTAACACTTTTATTTGAATGAATGAATCTAATTAAGTTTGTGTTTGTATATACCTATTTACATTTATCCGAATAAAGTTTAAACAAAACTATTTATTACATAATTGTGTTACAATTAAACAATTACCATACATAGGCAGTACAGTGTGGATATTAAGTCTTACTCCCCCTAGTGAACTCCTTTATTTAAGACAAAGATGAAAAAACGCTCGGACCCGTCAATTTTTATTTTAATAGAGGTATTTTATAACCATCGAACAAAAAGACAAAAGAGGAATGTAAAGGTAGTGGAGGTAAAAATATTGGTAGACAGGAAGTGCCAACTTGAGAGGCCACATTAAACAAGGAAAGAGAGTCTTTCTTGTTTAAGAAATCAAATTTAGTTGGGTTATGTTATTGTTTGTCCCAACTGTCACATGAAATCTGATTTATATTGATGTTTTTTAACAATTGTTATCACATTTTAGACTGTCATCGTTAATATTTATTTAAAGTTTCTCGTCGACCGTAAGACACATTCTGAAAACTATTTTATAGCTACTGTTAATAAGTGTCGAAAAATTTAAATTTGGCGCATTCGCATTTCCGGATATGTCCGCCATCAGAGGCCACTTTTTTGGTCTCCTTTTCATAACGATTAGATTCCCTCTTTTGTCTTTTTGCTCGATGTTTATAACATAAAAAAAATTGTGACCCCTTTCATCCCCTTCACTTGACAGCTACCCTCTCAGATTTTTTAAATAGCAATGGGGGTCGTGCGATAGTTCGTTGGAAAGGGTTTGAAAAGAAGAATTCAAAAATGTGTAAGTTTGAAATTATGTATGGCATAATGGTTTTATTTAAAATAAAATATACAAAAAATAATGTATTAAATTACATCTTTAAATTAAGGAACTGGCAAATTATCCTAAAGAAAACTTAAATTACTGCAGATGCTCGAAATGTTCTCCATTTACTTCCTGGCAAAAGTAGATTCTTTGTTTCGGTGCCTCCCTAACCCTTTGTAGGGTCTGCATATCAATCCTGTTACATTCTTCGATTATTCTTTGACGGAGTTCATCAAGTGTCCTCAACTGGCTCCCATACAATTTGGATTTAAGGTAACCCCATAGGTTAAAATCTAGAGGAGTAAGATCTGGTGATCTTGGTGTCTGTATCGGTGGTCATTTGGGCAGTCTGTATCCCAGCGGTAATCTCTTGCTTACTCTGTAAGTCGCGTTAATGGCTTAGCGATATCTGCAAACTTCTTAATAAACCTCTGGTACTAAGTACATAATCCAAGAAAACTTCTCACTTGATGTTTGTCAGTTGGTTCTGGCCATTCCTTAATGGTATCGATTTTTCCCTTATCCACTGCCACTCCTTCTTTACTGACTATATGACCCAGATAATTGACTTTACCTTGAAATATGATGGCACTTCTTGGGGTTTAACATTAATTGGGCAGCTTTAAGTCGATTAAAAACGTTTTTTAAATTCTTCAGATGATCTTCAAATGTCTCCCCCAAGACGATTATGTCATATAGATAAACCAGGCATGTTTTCCAAGATAATCCTCCCAACACATTTTCCATAAGCCTCTCAAATGTAGCAGGAACATTAGAGTCCAAATGGTATAACGTTGAATTGCCACAATCCAGATTCTGTGGTGAAGGCTGTATTTTCTTTATCTACTGGGTCCATTTCTACCTGCCAGTATCCAGACTTCAAATCCAAAGTAGAAAACAATTTACTTCCAACCAATGTGTCGTCGATCCGAAGCAGAGATAACTATCTTTTTTGGTAACGTTGTTCATCAAACGGTAATACACACAGAACCTCGTCGTTCTTCTTAACCAGGACCACCGGAGAGACCCATGGGCTCGTAGAAGGTTCTATCACCCCGTCTTTCTTCATTTCCTAAACAATGGTTTCAGCTTCCTCTCTTTTCACCTGTGGTAATCGTCGAGCTGTTTGACGAACTGGCTTAGCATTACCAGTATCAATTTCATGCTTAACAACGGTAATTCTTCCCGTCTTTCCTCCTTTCAATACGAAAATATCACGATACCGCCGAAGAAATTCCCATAATTTCCTTTTCTCCATCTGATTTAGAGACTGTCCAGCAACTGCAACCATTTGGTCGAATTTGTCGTTAGAATTATCAGATGTTGTCGTCTGACGGATTATGGATGTCACAGGTACACAAGTTCCTACTTTTGTCTCCTTCTTGATAGTCACTGTCTTGTCTTGACAGTGACTATCAGGCTTGATAGTCACCTTTCCAATTATGATTCCTATGATGATGTGGATGAAGAAATACCTCCTTGTTACTAACTTTGATCACCTTATTCGTAAAATCCAAGTAAAATTCATGCATATTCATTACGTTCATTCCTAATATAACATCCTATGGACGAACTTTTCTGCTCCAATTTCTAATTGTACCTGGATTTCTACATGAATGTTGGCATTTTCACCTGTAGCGTTCCGAAGTCGCAACCTCGTTGGTAACAGTTTCTTATGGCTATTTATAACTCTCGGGAGTATAATGGTTCTGGTCGCTCCGTTATACACCATCAACGTATGACTTTTACCATTTATTTCCCCATCTACATATACACTATATTCACGACATTTCAAAGAAGCTATTATATGAGAGGGTCTTTGGAAAAGTTCCGGGTCGAAGCTGCCCCCGTAAGGCCGACCCGTTCTAGTTTTGTCTTCGGTCTTATGGTCTTCGTCTTCTTGTATCTAATACTTTTCATCATATTAACGAGCAGATCAAGTTTATTTTCATCTCCTTCCTCTTTTACAGTCCTAACTTTACTGTACCCGCCAGAGGTCTGTTTAGCTGACTCGTATTCGAGGGCGGCGGATAAGACATCAACCAGCGTCTTGTGACGAGCTTATCGCAGTGTTCTCTGCATTTCATGATCACGAAGACCATCAAAAAATGTTTGAACGGCCAATTTTTCCATCATGTCTTCGGGAGCTGTTGGATAAGCATACCTACTAATCTTGCAATATCTACCTCATATTCTAGAAGAGCGTCATCTCTCTTTTTGCTTCGATTTTTAAGCTGCGACTTAAACACATGCTCCAAATGTTCGTGGCCATATCGCATATTTAACCTCTTCTTAAGTTGTTCGAAATCATCCGTCTACTCTACGGCTATGGTCTGAAGCACATCTAAGGCATCTCCCCGAAGAGCGATAGTCAGGTTTACAGCATTTTCTTTTTCAGACGTCGAAAAGTTGGGACTTTCACATGAAAAGAACCTCCACTTCCTTCAAATTTCGGCCGTGTTTCCAACATACATTTCGTCTCGTCTTCTTTTGTCTCTACTGTAATTGGATTGTTTTCTCTCTCTGCTGTCCCTGTTTCCTCCATCTTCCTTTCCATCTCTTTCATCTTTTCTTCGAAGGCCAACTTATCGACAGCAACTTGGTTTTTTAACTAAGATATTCTATCGTCGAAGGCAGACATCTCAGAAGTGACTTTAGAGATTTTCAAAGAGATCTAAGCAGAAACTGTGCTTTCCAGAGAAGAAATCTCGTTAGAAAACTTTGTCTTCTAAAGAAGCGATGTCACCGGAAAGTTTCGAAATATCGTCAGAAACTTGGTTCTCTAATGATGCGATGTCACCAGAAACTTTGACCACATCAGGAGAAACTTTCGAAATATCGTCAGAAACTTTGTTCTCTAATGATGCGATGTTACCAGAAACTTTGTTCTCTAATTTTGAAATCGACGAGATGGCAGTAGCATGTTTGTCTTCAAATATATAAGTTTCCGGGTCTAAATCCTCTTCTTCCAAAGCGTTCTTTAGTCGTTGTACTGAATCAGCCTTTTTCCGGTAGAAGCTAATTTTTTGTCCTCAAGATGTCTTCTTAAATTCGTAACTATGAGCTCATAAATCGTAGTCATTTTCACAATGTATTTAAAATATTCCACTTTCGACACTAAAAAACTGATTTTATTAATCTAATTTATTAACTTTATTTGTTTTAAAATGTTCTAACACTTACTTTATTAAAGTCTTTATTAAATTATATAAAGTCATACAAAAATTTATTTACACGATTCCAATTTATATGCTACATTTCCGCGTTACAATTCAAATTCGATACAACTATTCACATTAACTAATTTTTAAATAAAAATGTCGTAGTATATAAATTGGAATCGCCCCCTCGGATTTGGAAGGTAATCTGTGCTGACCATTCTCGAATAGGATGGAACTCCAGACAGGTTTTTTTAGCGGATCGGAGAATCTACTAGAAAATACTAGTTAGAATAATAAAATGTTTACATGTTAAATGTGAGTCATATTTATCGTAACAATATTATGCCTTGTCAGTCAGGAATTTTTTCTCTGTTGTATTTTGATTTTTGTGAATTTCTGGCAATATTCATTTCGATATGATGTGAACCACTAGATAGCAAAAGACCTTAGATATGGAAAGAGAGCACCAGTTGATTTCAAGACGGAATTCAAAAACGGAAAAACAATTCTTGACTGACAAAGCATGTTACCTCATACCATGGTCATCATCCCATACGTCAGGAGAGAAGTAGGAAGTAGTTTTAGTTAACCTCACTTTATTTTGAGGTTACGGATTAATTTCAAAATAACAACAATCTTCTGATTTTTTTATTTTATTAAATAAAAATCGAAAAATGACTTTTACGTGAGTTTTGATCATGTTACGAATACTTGACAAGAAACTAATATTTCGATGCAATCATCTTAATAAACTGTGTATAAGAAGATATGTTATTTACAACCAGAAAAACCTGGGTAAGTTATAAATACAAATAGGTCTTAAAATCTAAGCTATTATTTTTATAGAACTGGATCAGGCATATGTGCCCCACAAAGTGGAGAACGTGACAAAACCGAATTATTTCAAGCCTCAACAAAAACAATCAAGGCCCTTTATTCTCGTTTTACCTCCTCCTAATATTACAGGTACTTTACACATTGGACATGCATTGACTGCTACCATACAGGATGTCTTGGTTAGATGGTAAGTAGCTTTTACAGTATAGTCTTTAAGTCTCTATTATAATTTTTGTAGGAAACAAATGCAGGGTTTTGAAACCCTTTGGATTCCTGGTACTGATCATGCCGGAATAGCAACTCAAGTTGTTGTTGAAAAGCTTCTATGGAGCGAAAATAAACAGACTAGACACAATATAGGCAGAGAACTATTTATAGAGAAAGTTCATGAATGGAGAAAAGAGAAAAGTCCTATTATAAGTATGTTTTATATATATCTAAATATAATTTTTAACTTTATTCAATCTTTATATTCTTTATGTATCATTAATGGGAAATTCTGTTAAATATAAATTTATAAAAAGGTCAACAAAGTACAAATTGATGATAGATGAAATCATAAGCAGAATGAACCAATGAAAAACTTCAGTAAACAATCAGAAAAAAAAAACAAATACAAGAGAAGCATTCAGAGAATAATAAGCCAACATAAAACTTCTCAAAAATTATGTAACTATAAAATCTATATAAAAATGTCTTATGTACTCATTAATTACAGTAATGCATTGGTTAGTGATCAGTGGTGTAGTGTCTGGGGCTGGGGAGACTGAGACCTCAGAAGCTGTGAAGAAGACATTGAAGAGGCTACATTTTTTCTTATTTAAAATCCGTTATAAAAGGTATATAATTAATATATAATTATAATTAAGATATATAATTATATACCTTTTATTAAGGTATACACAATTTTTTGTGATACATGATATACAGCCAGCTACAGAAACTTGGTGTCCTTGTGGGTATCAAAGAGGATATGGAAAGCTCATTGCTTTTTAACTTCTTGTGAGAATATGCTGAGTAAGATGAACTTATCAATGAATTGAACTGGTCAATTCTTGTTAAAGATAGTATATAACATTAAAAGCCACAATAAAATAGCTTCAATCCATAATAATGCACAAAATACAGTAATTTGCATATTACTTATACATCTTATATATCATGATTTGATTATACTTGTATCTATTTTATAGGAGAACAACTTCAGAGACTAGGAGTTCTTCTAGATTGGGATAGGGAGGTTTTTACTTTAGATGAACAAAGGTCCAAAGCAGTACAAGAAGCATTTATAAAACTATTTGAAGAGGGCCTAATATATAGGTTAGTAGTTTCTGTTTGCTTTGAAACATCTAATGAGAGGGGAGCGAAGTGTTGCAATGTGAAGTGTGGCCACTTGATCATAACTCTTCTATGCTCTCCAGTCACTCTGCCTAGACTCTGACATCTCTTTTTTGCTCTGTCTTTCTCTCCATCTCTTTTTCCAAATTTTAATTACACAGGTAATATTAACAATAGTGTTACAGTTTAGGATATATAAAAGCCAAGGAAGGACAATTTGATTTTCAAAGTGTTGAATAGAATAATTTGATTAATTTAGAAATAACAATTAACAAGGTTCTCAGAAATGGATTCGATATTAAATGTATGGTAAAAAATTACAACGAACTGCAGCTGGATTATAGATGATTAGCAATAATTTCTTATTATGTAGCCTTATTCATTGCAGACATTCACTATTAACATTACAAGTCATATTTTATTAGCGACTAGCCTAAAAAGCTCTAAAGTTAGTCTAAACCTCTTGTGTAGGTTTTGTACCCATCCGTCTCTTCTTCTCCCAAGACTCAGCTGCATCTTCCTTGGCTTGAAGGTTAAGTTGCTGGAGGAGTTATTTTTTATCAGATGACCAAGGTATTTCAGCTTATCTTCTTTACTATAAATGTAATTTTTTGTTGCTTGCAATTTCTACTCAATACTTTCCTATTAGTAATGTGATCTATTAAGGATATTCAAAAAATTCATTCAAATAACCACATTTCAAAGGTATACAGATTTTTATTCTGAATTCTGTCGTAGAATATACTTCCATACTACACAGTGAAACCATGTGCATCATTTTAACAATCCGATTTTTAGTGGTATGAACAACTCCTTTTTCTAAATATATGTTAAATTTTAATAAAACTTTATTGCAACTTCTTAATTTCAAATTTGATCTCTGCTTTCATGTCTTATTGATAATGAACAATCGTAATCAATGGGAGATGAGAAACAAACATGAAGGCAAAAGAAAAGAAAATACAATTGGTAGACAATGCTTTGATTTTCTTGTATGCATTAAAAATGTCATGTAATTCTTGCAGTCTTTTTGATTTTGCTGTATTTTTCTTTTAACAAGTTCTCTTGTCTTTATATTATCTTGTATTTGTCCGTATTTCTCTTTCCATTTTAGAAATTTCTGAAGAAGATTATAACAATTATTTACTATATTATATTAAACAATATAATCTAATTTGTTTCAGATCGAAATCTTTGGTGAACTGGTCATGTGCTCTTAAGTCTGCAATTTCTGATATTGAAGTCGAACAACTTACTTTAACTGGATCTACCAATATTTCAGTTCCTGGTTATGAAGAACCTGTTGAATTTGGCATTCTTACTAAATTTGCCTATTTAATCGAAGGGACAGGTAAGCCAAGAAGAATTTTTTAAGCAGCTAGAATAATAGTAACTAGAATTTTCTTGTCTATAATTTCTTCTAAAATATCATGTCAATGGGTAGAGTTTGTAGAAAACCTTATAGTGGCAGCCCCAACATCGGAATACCCAGCTGAAAGTTGGTTAACTACTAACACTGGGGAATGTTACTTATTCACTCAAAATCAACATGTTTTGTGGATGTCATGGAATAAGACCATGGCTAGTAAAGGACAAAAGATTTAACCATTTTATAAAAGCCAATGAAAACATTGGATATAGCTATTATGACAATCACAATGCGTTATCTTGTATCAGCAAACTTATTCATTCTTCCGCTAAGATATAACAATATTTCCCTGAGCCACTGAAACCATAAAGTAGTTTATCCGAAAAAAATTCGTTGTGGTTTACACTTGGGTAGGTAGGTATAATATTTTATTTTTAAACCAGCGTAATCAGATTTTGCGAAACAAAAATATTTGAAGATTTACAAAGCTATGTAGTAAAACGTAAGTGACATGTTCAATATCTTTCTGATGGTGCCAAACGAATACTGAAACATGTTTATGAATGATTTTGTTCTGAACTGTCTAAATCAGAGGCAATTGCAGAAACATGTTTTTTAACCAGAGTGATCAAAGCAACCTGCTACAAGATTATAGGAGAAACATTTCTTCTGGACAGAGGAGAAAGGATGGTAGCAAATTCAGACAAATAGAACTGCAACAACAACAAAAATATAGACAAGCGCCAGACACCAATGGAAAGTACTAGAATAATTTCTTTAAGAAACAATTATATCAGACAGATAATGGTGTCTCGAAAAATGAAACGAAATATTGTTTATTTGGATGAGACCTGGTATGATACTCATGACACCGTGAAAAGAAATTTGAACGGATAATAACAAAAAGTGATCTAATTCAGTACTGCCCAATAAAACTGATGGACGTAAGAAGATGTTACCAAAACCACAACAAAGTAAAATATAAAGAAACCCAGAGAACCATCTGAAACAAAATCAGGAAAGCCAAAGAAGAATGGATGAACATCAGCTGTGAGGAACTGAGGGAATTACTAAAAAAACGTGACTACTTCAATGCATACAAAAAGATTAAGGAAGTCAAGTATGAAGAAAAACGAAAGGCTTCAGGTCCAGATTAGATATATCTAGAGATGATAAAACTTATCAATGAAGAAAATCTTCAGTCCGTAACACTACTATTTAACAAAATATATACCACTGGAATCTTCCCAGAAGACTGGCTTAGATCTACATTTATACATATATCCAAGAAAAATAAAGCAAATAGATGCTCACAGTTCAGATTAATTAGCCTGATGAACTAGCCAGATTACTTAGCCTGATCAACGTATACAGAGAATGCAAAAGAAATCTTAGCGACCATCAATTTGGGTTTCGTATGGGGCTTGGTACGAGGGGGGCATTATTTGGCCTCCAGATATTACTACAAAAATGCTGAGATCAATGAAAAGACGTGTTTCTCTGTTTTATCGACTACGAAAAAGCGTTTGATCGAGAAAAACACAGAACTCATAGAAACCCTAACACAACATGGTATATACCATAACACGGTGGTCCTTATTAAAAACCTATATTTGGATCAAATGGCGTCGATTAAAATAGACAATCCTATGACATCAGAAATGTCAATAAAAAGAGGAGTTCGCCAGTGTGTACTTTCTCTACTATTGTTTAATATATGTTCTGAAAAGATCTTCCAAAATGTACTCGAAACTATTGAAGAAGGAATAAAAATCAACGGAGAATATGTAAACAACTTACGATACGCAGATGACACCGTTATTATTGCGGACAGTGCTTAGGGTCTGCCACGACTTTTGAATGCCATAACCAGACAGGGAGATAGCTTGGAGTTGAATATAAACACAAATAAAACAAAAGTAATGACTGTTAAATGTGCAACAAATACCGACATTAATATTCGTATCTACAACAAACAGATAGAACCCGTACAAAAATTCCAGTATCTTGGTTGCTAGATAACAAACGATCTTGACTACGAAGTTGAAATACATGCTCGCATAGAATATGCTAGGTCCGCTTTTCAAAGAATGAAAAAATTCCTAATAAACTCTACCTTGCCGTTGGACATCCGATACCAGTTTGTAAAAACATTCATTTATTCCATATTGCTATACGTAGTGGAAACACGGACTCTCAGAATCACAAGTATGAGATGCGTAGAAGCTTTTGAGATGTGGGTTTTTCGAAGGATGCTCAAGATCTCTTGGACAGAGCACTTGACCAACAACGAAGTGCTGAGAAGAATTTGGACTGAGAGAGAACTCCTAAATATTGTAAAAACTAGAAAAACGAGTTCTCTAGGTCATATTTAGAGAGTAAGAAAATTACAACTTCCTACGACTGATAATGAAAGGTAAAGTGGAAGGAAGAAGAAAATGCTCCTGGCTGAAAAATGTAAGAGACTTGACAGGTATGGACACACATTCGATACTAAGAACAGCTCAAGATAGAGAGCAATTTGCTGTAGTTATAGCCAACCTTCAGTAATCGAGAGGGCACCTTAAGACGAAGAGAAATACAAGGTCTAGCTGTTGACTTTAAGACATGTGAAGTTGTACACTATTTGCTTTCTACAAGTTTCCAGAGAAGGTTGTTTCTCTTAACAACCTTTTGTCTTGTACTCTGATAGTGGTATTTACACAGTAAGCTGTCTAATACAACTCCCAAGATTTCTAACTGTTGCCCCTTCCAGGATAAGTTCAGTTTTACACGTGCCAAATTGGTGTTAAGATCATATGCACTCACCTAGAGCATATAGAGCACCTAGAGATATAAGAGCAAAATAAAATGTTACTGACGCTTCCTAGAAACGTCCTTCGGACGGCTAATCCTTCCACCACTGGATCAAAACAATAGAAAGTTTTTGAAAGTAAACAATCGTGACAAATTAATATTTGTAAATTAAGAAACCAATAGAGTGAAAGTTAGATGTGCAATAGAAAGAAATATAATGAGGACATTTTGGAATGGCCATTATTATTACTTTTTTAATTTCCATTTTGATCTCTTTTATTAAACAAACTATACATTGTCTAATTGATATTTTATTTATTTCAGAAGAGGAAATTGTTGTGGCTACTACTCGACCAGAAACAATGTTGGGAGATGTTGCGATTGCGGTGCATCCAGATGATTCCCGGTATGCAAGACTGATAGGAAAATTTGCAAAGCATCCTTTTAGAAATAATACAATACCTATTATACCCGACAGTTTTGTAGATAGGGAATTTGGAACAGGTAAGTTTTTAAATTTTGATAATCAGTGTAAAAGCGAAGTGTTTGCCTTTATTTTCGCTTTTATACAAATCTTTTTCGTAATGTGAACTGTAGAAAATTAAATAACTTAATATAAGAAAATACTCTAGTATCCAACTTCATGTGTTTTTAAACTTGCTCTTGGAAGTTCATTTTTGTTTGGAGTTATACTATAGTGTATTTTTATGTATGTGAGAGTAATAAAACAATAAATTATGTATGCAAATCCCTAAACTGTTAATACGGGTGACTCAATGAAAAACAGATATTTGTCAACAAGTTTACATAAGTATATAGGAAAACAATTTTAAATTGAGTATGACCACCAGGTATAAAGGTTGGAGCAGAATAGAATACAATAGTTGTGAGGGTTATTAATCCCTAAATAAGGTTGCCAGTGTCGGAGTGATGGAGGTTAACAGGTACTAATGAATTTGCAAGAAATGTAAGATGTTTATTTTATTGGTTATATATAACCTACCTACCTATTTGCAAAATAAAGTTTAATTCTTTAGATAAAATAAAACGTTTTATTTTATCTGAAATGAGTGCATTCCACGAAGTAAGGGTTTCAACAATCAAACATTTAATTCTTTAATTCCAGGAACCTACGACAGTAATTGACCTTCTAAACTTATTCCACAGAAAATGTGATAGTGGGTTTTTCCATTTTGTAGGAAGGTCCAAGTGTTGTATTCAAAATTCTTAACAGTTCACTAAAAGTAGGTACTTCAGTTGCAAGGTGCAGTTTATTGTGTATACTAGTGTTATGGAAAATTTGGAAGTGCCGTGTAAACGCCGAAAAATTGGTCCTTTAACAGTTAATGAAAAAACATTAATATTTAATTGTTTTAAATCATTTACAGACAAACGTTTATGTGAAAGTGTTGATGAGACCGTTGAGTTAGTTAGCAGTACACTTGGTGTTGGGAAATCTACGATTTACAGAGTTATTAAAGAAGAGAAATGTGGTAGTTTTTCCAGGTGGAAGAGAAAGTTCAAATAGAATATCATTTTAAAGAAGGACTTCGACGGAAAGTGCATGAATTCTTCTTTAGACAAGAATTTCCAACATTGGATAAAGTTCTTGTCTCAGTTCGAGATGATAAGGATTACCCAGAAATGAGTCGAAGTACGTTATGGAAACTTTTAAAAGAAATATGCTTCCGCTGGAAAAAGAATCCCAGAAAGTCTATTTTATTAGAAAGAAGCGATATTGTCATATGGAGAAGACATTTTCTAAGAACCATAAAGGAAATGAGAAACCAAAAAAGAAAAATATTTTATCTTGATGAAACATGGATCAACGAGGGTCATACACCAAATAAATTTTGGCAGGATGAAACTGTTACAAGTCAAAGGCACGCTTTTGTAAATAACTTATCTACTGGTTTAAACCCACCATCAGGAAAGGGATGCAGGCTGATAATAGTACACATTGGCAGGTCAGACGGTTTTGTTGAAGGTGGTTTATTAACTTTTGAATCAACTCGTACCGGTGACTACCATGAAGACATGAACGCTGATGTGTTTCAAGAATGGTTCGGATAAATGATAGATCTTCTTCCTAAGAACTGTGTAATAGTAATGGATAATGCAAGTTATCACTCCAGACTTATAGAAGGACTGCCCACAACCAAGTGGTTAAAAAAAGACTTGCAGAATTGGCTGAGTTTAAAAAATATTACGTACCATCCCGGATCTATAAGAAAGGAACTTTATTCGTTGTGTGCCCTTCATAAAGAAAAATTTAAAAAATACGAAATTGATGAAATTGCCAAAAATCGTGGAATGACAGTACTTAGATCCCCACCATATCATTGTGAATTAAACCCGATTGAACTGGTATGGGCACAGATAAAGAATGAAGTTTCAAGAAAAAATACCACTTTTAAAATTCATGATGTTAAACAGTTGTTTTTGGAGGCCGTAAATAATGTAAAACCTGAAAACTGGGAAAAGGCAGTAAATCACACTATTAAAGAAGAGGAAAAAAATGTAGAAGCTGGACAATATTACTGATAAAATGATCGAGCCAGTTATTATAAATCTTGGTTCTGAAAGTTCATCTTCTGAATCTGATTTGGATTTGTAACAAGTAGCTGTAAGTTTTATATTAATATTTTTATTCGTCTATTTAACATACCTTAGACGGTTTTAAAAACTCTTTTTCTCTTTTGTAATTTTTAAAAATTAAAAAACATGTGAATTTTTTAAAACCCTTTTTAATGTAGACAGTTAGTTCTAATATAGTGTGTGATAAAAGAGGTCACTTTTGTTTACATACACATAACCTTTATAACACTGAAATAATTCATTTATTTTTTACAATTATTCAAAGTAATTTTTCAATTAATCTTGACCACGCAATTAGAGGTCGGATAGGTACCAGTTAAAATTATGCTAATTACTCTCTCGTTCATAAAAATAAACTATAACATCAAACTAAAAACTCTAAAATTATTATCAGGGACACTTTGGGCTTGTCGTTCGGAGGCAGCTTGAAGCTCTAATAGAATCGATTGAAAAATATAATAAAAATGCATCTGAACCAAAAGCGAGAGCGAATTTTATTCCAAATAAAGTCTTTTGGATTTTATGCTTTAGAGATCATGCATCCTATTCTACAATTCGTCGAAGTGATGAGTAAAACGCTCCAGTCACAGGAAATCGATCTGTGTCAGACTGTACATAACGTTAAAGTTTAGCTCTTGCTTTTGCAAAATTTAAGAATAGAAGAAAGTTTTAATAATACCGATGGTCTAGTGCACATATGTCGTAAGTGAATTTTTGATAAATTTGAGTTACTAACATATAACTTCAAACATGAATTTTCTTATACACACAAGTGGTAAGTAAAATAATTAAGTTTGTTGATACCAGTGCCACTTTTCAAAAGTGTCGAGTACTTCTACACTACAGAATTCTACTCCACATGCTGTAAGAGCACTTAATACATATGTGCACTGAATTAAATAGCATTAATGCAATTACCACATTTGTGTCAAGTAAAAAAGTAAGGTTAGTGTTTCTTTCATTCCGGCGCAATTATGTCGTTTTCTCTAATAACGGTAAGTTTCCTTTTATTTTAGAAATAGCTTCCGAGTTTTGACCCCGGACGATTTTAACTTGAGGGTGATTAAATGTATTGAAAGAAGATTAAAAGGTTTATTAAGAATACTATTTTTTGTATCAATAAAATAATTGTTTCTAGTAGAAGTAATCCAAATCATTGTATCTTTTTGAGGTGAGAATATTCTAAAGAGTTCTGGAAAGAGGACCCAGATAGCGCACCGGGAACTTTTTTTGGCGAACGTAACTTGTGGCGCACTACCGCGGTCCCCAGCCGTATTTTAGCGGTATAAAAAACAAATATATGAGTAGATAAAGAGGAGAGGTACATAAATAAAACTAATACGTCATATTAAAGTATGTGTATAGTGGATTAGTCTTTCAGCTTATTCCCTCATCCTATCTCGCTCTTTTCAACGTCTCCCTTTTATGTTTTTCGTTATTATTTCTAGCACATAATCGACGTTCTCACTGTTCTGTATTGCTAAACTCAGTATATTATTTGGCGTGAAAATTATAATTAATTTGGCTACATTATTTGAAAAATAGAAAATCTCCTGTCGCAGACCAGATCACCGCAGAAGTTTTAAATGAGACTGGGGATGTTGGAGCAAATGTTATGCATATGATCTGAAAAAAGATTTGGGAAACCGGAGAGTGGCCCAACGACTGGACAATATCTACTTTCATCGCTATATTAAAAAAGAAACTTCGCTAGATTACAGCAACTACAGAACGGTAACCCTAATATCCCATGCAAGCAAGGTTCTACTTCATGTAATAAATGAAAGACTAAAAGCTTTTCTATCGCCTCAGATATCATAAGAACAAGCGGAATTTGTTCCATGAAAAGGCACAAGAGAACACATTCTTAATGTCAGACAGCTAATCGAAAAAACTCGTGAATTCAATACTTCTATGCTTATGAGCTTTGTGGATTACACATAGGCCTTCGATAAAGTCAAATGGCAGCAGCTATGGTCCATACTAGCGGAAATGGGAACACCCCACCACTTAATTCAACTAATTAGAAGTCTATATGAAAATAATAAGTGCACAGTAAAAATAAACAACACCCATTCCGATCATTTCAGAACAGAGGCAGGTGTCAGATCGGGATGCATAATCTGGCCAACTCTGTTTAATATCTACAGCGAACACATATGTGAAAGGTACTAGATGGATGGAAGGGCGAAATATCAGTAGGAGGTCAAAAAATCAATTACTTGAGATATGCTGATGACACTAATAATCGCGGCAAATTAAGAAGAAATGGAAGACATAATGAGATGTCTGGAGGAAAAAAGCAAAACTTATGGACTAAAGCTAAATAGGAGTAAGACAAAGATCATGATAGTAGACAGAGCTCGGAATAATCTTCAACACATTAAACAAATTGGGGGCTTTGAAGTAGTAAATAGTTTCATATACCTGGGGTCCCTAATAACAAATCACGGAGGGTGTGACAGAGAGATACGTAGAAGGTTGACTATTGCTAGAACAGCTATGATGAAACTGGTAGCAATTTGGAAAAATTCTAGCATAACAATACACACAAAACTAAGACTGGTAAGGGCGCTCATTTTTCCCCTAGCCACATATGCATCCGAAACGTGGACCTTAAAGAAAGCGGATAAAATAAACTGGACGCTTTTGAAATGTGGGTATACCGCCGCATGTTGAGAATATGCTGGATTGATATCGCACTAACGTATCGATATTAGAACAACTTAAAGTAAAGGATAGATTCCTTAAACAAATAGAACAGAGATATTTGCAGTATTTTGGACACATTGCTAGAACATGATGGAAAACTGATAGTCGAGGGTAGAGTTGAAGGAAAGAAACCTAGAGGAAGATCTCCAAGCCGTTGGGTAGATCAAACAAAAATATTGATTATCCAAGGGTTA